AGCTGCAGAAGAGACACACGTGCACAGACCTGGGTGAACTGCGCAGCTACCTTGGCTTGCAGATCACCCGGGAGAGAGCACAACGCACCATTACCCTGACTCAGTCACACATGGTGCAGCAAGTCCTTCAGCGCTTCGGCTTCACGTACTCCTTGCCTCAGACCACTCCTCTGCCTACTCGTCACTCGCTCTCAGCTCTGCCTTCGGATGAGTCCGTAGAGTCGAGTGGCCCGTACCCAGAGCTTGTTGGCTGCCTCATGTACCTGATGACCTGCACTCGACCTCACCTTGCATACCCTCTTAGCATTCTCGCACGCTATGTTGCTCCTGGGAGACACAGACCAGAGCACATGGCTGCAGCGAAGAGGGTGTTGTGCTACTTGTGCAGTACGTCGGGCATGGGGCTTGTGCTTGGAGGGAGGAGTCCAGTGGTCCTCACTGAGCACGCAGACGCTTCTTGGGCGGACGACCAGGCTACGCAGCGGTCGTCACAGGGTTACACCTTCAGCCTTGGTTCCGGCTTTGTCTCGTGGCGGGCTACCCGCTCGTCTTCTGTTCTCGGCTCCAGTTGTGAGGCTGAGATCTACGCCGGGGCCATGGCTGCACAGGAGCTTCGCTGGCTCACCTACCTGCTGACTGACCTTGGCGAGGTGCCTCGTTCTCCTCCAGTGCTGTACGTAGACAACAAGGCCATGCTGGCCTTGTGTCGAGAGCAGAGACTGGAGCACAGAACGAAGCACATTGCTATTCGCTACTTCCTTTCTCGTGAGCTGCAGTAGCGTGGTCAGCTGCGTCTTGCGTACGTGGCCTCTGAGACCAACACTGCTGATCTCTTCACCAAGGCACTTGCGCCTTGTGATCATCAGCGCTTCTGCACTCAGCTTGGTCTTGTGCCTGTCTTGCCTCACTTGCTCACCTCTTGACCTTGTTTGTACTGTTACATATATATACACCTGCTCTTGCTTGTCTAGCCTTCTATACATATATGTACTTCTGCATGTGAACTAGCCTTATGGCCTTGAACTTGTGCTCAGAATGTGTGGTGACTTTGTGATCCGCCCTGAGCTTGCTTTGCTCTGCTTGACTAGTCTTGTGACCCCTTGTTCTCCCCCACTTTGCCTATGGGGGTGTGCCAAATTATAATGTTGTGTAGGCTGTAGTGGGGTAGCCTATATGGGGTATTTAATTCTAAGGTTGCATACTTGTATCACTTTCATTCCTTAGTCATTCATTCTCGTTTCTTCTCACCCTATGTGGCGAAGAAGAACTCAGCCTCGTTATTTCCCACTAGTAGTACTTCATGAGGAGGAACCACCTCGGAAGTGCTTAGCGATAGTACGCACGAATTTCAAGACTTCTTTGTTGACGATGTTTTGCCCTGCGACCCCCTTCCTCCCCTCCACCACCCCACTTCTACGCTTGCTGAAGGTATGCAGATGACTCCTGAGCATGCTCCTGCCCACTGCTAAGTAATAGGTTGGCATCCGCCTTTGTGACATTAGGACTCGCATACATAGCGTCATCGCCCGGATATAAGACATATATGTCTTATCTTATACACTAGAAACAATTCTTGGATTGTCTTGTATTTGGGACGGTTTAGATTGTCTTATACGTCTTATAAATGGGAAAAAGAAAATATGAAACGTGTAACATTTGCAAAGTGTGTAGAAACCACACAGGGCCCAGATTCATTGAATTCGGCCGACCTCGGTGGTGATGCATGCGTCGCCACCACATGCCACGTGAGGGATGCAACAAAGCTGCCTGTGCTGGCAATATCCCTCCATGCTGGTAGCATCCATTGATGCTGCCAGCGTCGTTTTGCTGCCAGCAGCGCATGGATGCTTCCAGAACGCTGCTGGTAGCATGATGGCAGTGTGAGGGCTGACATGTGTTGTCCTCGATGAGGAGATTCCTCGTAGAGGAGCGGCTCAGCAGCCTTTTGAAGGGGCACTCTGGCTGGGGGGGTTAGTCGGGCTTGAGCTTGATTTTGTGCTCAAGAGGGTTGAGATTAGCTCAACCTTTGCTCTTGCCAGGCTCAACCATGCGCAGCAAAGTCCCTGTTGGCACGGCCTCCCCTCGCCCTCACTTCCAGGTGAACAACTATGGGCGAATCAACTCGTCCGTTGAAGACATCCATGTAGCTACGACGAAAGATACGGGCAAGGCGGGATGCTCAACCGCCACCTCAAGTGCGAGCTATGACGAAGACGACGGCGAAGAAACATGGCGACAACGGCGAGGAGGATTGGGCGGAGAATGGCCACGACGACAGCGCGTCAAAGGATGAAACCCCTGCTGGTAGCATCGACGACGCCGAATGGTGGAATTGGCCAGTTGGCGAGGCTGATATTGGCTGGTGACTCGGACAACGACGTAGCTGCGGATGCTGATGGTGAGCACGCTGAGGCAGCGGCGCATGCAACGGTGCAAGCCCCTGCGGCGGCTACGGCGGAATATGTGCCTGTGGGTACGGCGGTGTATGCGGAGGCGGTTGCGGATGCGGATGCAGACGACGAAGCGGAAGCGGAAGCGACGACGGAAGTGGAGGCGGAAGCGGATGCAGATGCGGTTGCGGCCACAGATGTGGAGGCAAATGCGGGTGAGGAGGCGGATGCGGATGGTGCGAAGGGAGGTGTTGATGCGGTCTTCTTCGAAGACAAACCGTGGTGCATCACGGCGGACGATGGCGTTCTTGTGTTGAAACGGAGGCTCCGTCATCGCCTTCAACCCAAGAAGAAGCGTGCCCGTGTGGTGCTGTCCGATGACGATAGTTCGGGGGAGGAGTGTCAACCGCGCCTCACTGCTGCAGACAAGGGAAAAGCCAAGGTCGTGGAGGTCCCTGCCAAGGCCACTGTACGTCGCCACACAAGACAAGAAGCGTAAGAACGACGGCGACCCTAGTTCCAGCACGGGTGCTGCTAAGAAGAATAAGAAGACGCCAAACAAGGACGACATCGTGGTCAACGAGGCGCTCGGCAGCAACGGTGACTACACGGAGGCTGCATGCCCGATTCCTTCATTCCCCGAGAAGGCGAAGCCGAAAGACCCCACCCTCCGTAATCCCAACTCCTGTCCCTCTTCCCCTGGCAGCAAGGATACTAAGAAAACGAGGCGCGGCTAGAGCGTACACGAAAAACTCAAGTGGGCGCACCGCTACCAGGAGCTCGGATCCCTCAAGAAGACCTCCGTGGAATCCACCGCGTCCATCACCTGCATCAGGCGCTGGAGCTCGGAGGTTGCAACGGGCCTTTACAAGGGAGCGGCAAACTGCCGCAAGCGGATGCACGGGGCGAGCCGCCAGTCACACTACCCCGACATGGAGGCGGCTTTGTACCGCTACATATGCCTGCAGCGCGTGAATGGGGTGGCGATCACGGTGAAAGTCACGTAGAAGTGGAGCTGCGAGTGGATGAAGAAACACCACCCCGGAAAGAACTAGGACGCGAGCTCACACTGGAGCCAGCGGTTCCGTGACCGCTGGAACTTGGTTATGCGGGTGAAGACCAAGGTCGGCCAACGGTTATCTGCCGGTAAGTGGTTAAGGGAGTGAATCCGTGCTTGATTCTTGATTGTATGTGCCTAGAACTCTAATCACCTCTCATGTTTCTACCCATCCGCTCCTGCTGTGCGGTGTTTTTCCTGCGCAGAGTGCGCTAAGGACTACGAGTCTTTTTGGAAGTTCGTGCGCATCAACAGAGCGCGGCACAACATCGACGCGGCCTGTATCATCAACGCAGGCTAGACGCCTCTCTTCGTTGAGATGTCGGCCGAGAGGACGATCGAGCACTGTGGCGCACGCCCGATTTCAATCCGCAGGGCAGGATATGAGACGACGCGGCTGACGGTGATGCTTGCGTGCACCGCCTCCGGGGAGAAGCTCCGCCCGTGGGTGTGGTTCAAGGTGAAAAACGTGCCGAAGTGTGACATTCTGGACAGTAAGCTAATCGAATTCTGCTTTCCAAGAGTGAAGAACTTGCTCTTCTTGCCTGACCCCCCTCTCTCCCCCTGTGCCTGGCAGGAGTCGTGTGCCAAGCATAGGATAGCGGGTGGATGGACGAGAGCGCTGTGCAGATCTGGCTGACCCAGGAGGTGCTGCCGCATCTCAACCCCCAGCACGGCCATAACGCGAGGCGTGCGATGCTGGTGTTGGACTTCTACCGAGGCCTCATCACCCAGGGCATGCTCCAAGCCTACCGTACGCATAGCATCACCCCTGCAGTAATCCCAACAGGTTACATGAGCCAAATTTAACCCTTGGACGTCTCCATCAACCGGTGCTTCAAGGCCGCGGTGCGCGCACGCTATGCCAGGTGGTTTATGCGTGAATAGATTCACCTGAAGACGAAGAAGGGTGAGTAAAGTTCATGCAAGTTCAGCCTTGTTACCCCTTCATGTCCTGTTACACCTTCATGTCTCTAACGGCGTGCTGTCCCTGCCTCTGTCCCACTCTTAGGAAACTTGCAGAGGCCTCCACACCCCGTGGTGCTGCAGTGGATTGCGGAGGCATGGGATTAAGTCCCCAAGAAGGTCATCATTGACGCGTTCCGCCACTGTGGGAGTTCAAGCAAGCTGGACGGGACGGAGAACCACCTTGTGATGTCTCACCTGCGCGCGAGGAGCACCTGTCAGAGGTCCACTGGTGATCCCCGATCGATCCTAGGGAAGGGTTACAGGCACGTTTGCCTGGGGGGTTATGGGCGCACTGACCCGCTACTGAAACAAGCCCTTTTATCCCAATGGTCTAGTGGTTGGGATTCTGAGATGGTATCCAGAGCGAAGGTCTCGGGTTCGAATCCCGGTGTATGCACTTCGGGCATCCCAGTGCGGGGGGGTGTCAGAGGTCCACTGGTGATCCCCGATCGATCCTAGGGAAGGGTTACAGGCACGTTTGCCTGGGGGGTTATGGGCGCACTGACCCGCTACTGAAACAAGCCCTTTTATCCCAATGGTCTAGTGGTTGGGATTCTGAGAGCACCACCGATGTCTCTGAGGACATGTGCCTCGGGGGGACCACATGCGACAACACGCGCCTGCTTGGGCAGGCTCTTGAGGAGGAGGAGGAGGAGGAGGAGGAGGAGGAGGAGGAAGAGGAGGAGGAGGAGGAGGAGGAGGAGGAGGAGGGGAAGGAGGAGGAGGAGGAGGAGGAGGAGGAGGAGGAGATGCAGGCGGAGGGCGTCAGGGAGGTGGCCATGGCAACTGGCCTGGAGGTGCTATACCAGGAGACCCCCAACTACCGCGGAGCGGCGGCCGAGGCTGACCGCATGGCCGAGCCAAGGCAGGCGGCTAGGCATGCCTAGCGAGTGCCAGACCTGGGTGTTAGGGAGCCTGATATTCATGCAGATGAGGAGGTTGTGACGGAGGGGGGCTAGGTATAAGTAGAAATTCATGAATGTATGCATGTACCCTCGAGAAGGAACTAAGGATCGTTTAGAGGATACCCCCCCCTTCATAAACCCCGAAACCCTTGTTCTGATTACAGGACAATGTCTTAAGCTGTACACATATTTAGGTGTCTTATAATGAGGAACAACCGTTTATAAGAGACACCCGTTCAATAGACACCCCCTACCTTCTATTCAACACTGTTTTATATCCGAGCGATGACGGTAGTTGTAGGAAGCGCGGATTTCAAGTTCTGAATTTGCCCTGCGCCCATGATCGTTAAGGGCTAAAAAATAGTCACCTACGCGAAAATCAGGGCCAAAGTTCGAGCAGCTCAGGACTCGATTTGTTGGTCCCATAGACTTCAACGGTCCTATTTCGAACGTGAAGAACTGAATTTGCAACACATCCGCTTGCTAGAATAAAAATCGCTACAGTACGTTGACACATGTGCAATTCTAACATTTTAACATGCGCTTATAATGTATCAAAAATTATAGGGGGTGCGCTTATAATTGAGTATCGGCCATAAGCGCATTGCTCTTGTTGGGCTGAGAAAAAGCCCTTAGGATCTTTGCAGGGCTGAACTCTGGGTAGGACTTGTTGTAATTAGAGGAAGCTTAATAAGAAGTGTTTGAACCACCTTGCGCTGGTATGTGAGGGCAAAGTAGATTGGTTAAAACAAAGAGATCCAAGTTTTTATAAGAGTACAAGGAATACGAAGAGATACAGTTAATAACCATTTTACTGTTGCTGTTGCGGTTCGATACAGTGACGACTTGGGCAACTGCTCGAATTTCGAGTCAGTTGTTGGTCCTTGCTGTCGCGCTGTATTTGTCAGGTCAAAAGGCGCTAACCTTTGACTTTCGCGTAACCTCTAGCAACTGCTCAACCTCCGAGGGTTGACTCGCTAGTGCTTCGATATACTTCGCTTTGAATCTGACTTGGTGTTTCGACACGACAGAGGCGGTTTAGAATTAATTGTTTCCAACACTCCCCTTCGCTTCTGGAGTGTCGCTGCTGGTGACGTGGCTCTGTCCAGTCAGCAGCATGCAGTACTTGAACTTATGCTTTCCGAGCTTCTTGGTCGAGTAGTCAGCTGCCATCTCGGATGTGGGGCAATATGACAGCTCGAGTCTCCCCTTCTCGATCTCATCCTTCCTTCTCGATCTCACCCTTCACGAAGAAGTATCGCAGGGCGATGTGTTTCGTCCTGTTCGCGAAGGCGTTCTTGTTGGCTATGCGAATTGCCGACTGGTTGTCACAGAACAGGGTGAAGAAGGGTACAGCTAGCTTTGCTTCTTCCAACAGTTCGCGAAGGTAGAGTCCTTCCTTGGTGGCTGAGCAGAGTGCGATATATTCCGCTTCGGCTGATGATAGGGCGATTAGTTCCTCCTTGCTTGACTGCCAGGAGATAGTTCCGATAGGTTAGAGGCGGTAGATGTAGCCGGTGCTTGAGCACCTGTTGTCGGAGTCGTCGGCGTGATCTGCGTCGATGTATCCGATTAGCTTAGGTGTCAGGGTCCCGTTCTTGTGGTAGGTCAAGCCGATCGTTGGGGTGCTGACGAGGTAGTGGAGAGCACGGTCGAGCTCCGCCATATATTCTGCTTCAGGTATCTTGAGGTAGGTCGCGAGCTGGCTTGCGGAGTACGATAGGTCCGGGCGGCAGGTGACGGCTGCGAAGAGAAGACAGCCTAGCTTTCTTTGGTAGTCGCATATGCCGACGGGCTTTAGCAGAGTGGATCCTGCCTTGTTGTTCCCTACCGCGTAGCGATATGGCGTGGAGATGGTGGTTGGCGTAAGTTCGAAGCATTTAGCAATGGTGTCGGCGTATTTCGCGGCGCTGAGGTAAATTGCGTGACAGTAGATGAGACTGTGAGAGTGAGATCCTTCTGCAGCTCCCCTTGGAACCAGGTAGAGACACCATCGGTCGAGTCGATGTAGAGTGTCAGAATGAACAAGAGTGATTGAACTAGGAAAGAGTTGGGTAAAAGTAGGAAACCCTAAACTTACTGTACCCCATAGTAACTACCCCACTACAGCCTAAACAAACTATAGCAGACATGACATTTGACACACCCCCATAGGCAAAGTAGGGGAGAGCAAAGGGTCACAAGACCAGTCAAGAAAGGCAAAGCAAGCTCAGGGTGGATCACAACGTCACCACACACACTGAGCACAAGCAGAGGGCCACAAGGCCAGTTCACATGCAAAGGCATATATGCAACGCAAACATCACAGTGATCTCTACCTAGCAAAACAAGCATGCAAGTATATCTATATATAGATCACAGTACAAGCAAAGCCTATAGCAAGTGAGGAAAAGTGGGAACAAGCACTAGCATAGTGCAGAAACGCTGATGATCACCATACTGAAGTGCCTTGGTGAATATATCAGCAGTGTTGGCCCGAGTGGCCACGTAACGCACACGAAGCTGACCACGCTGCTGCAACTCTCGAGCCAAGAAGTAACGCAAAGCGATGTGCTTCGTTCTGTGCTCCAGTCTGTGCTCCTCACACAATGCAATGGTAGCCTTGTTGTTGACGTACAGCACTGGAGGAGAACGAGGCCGCTCTCCCAAGTCAGTCAGCAGGTAGGTGAGCCAGCGTAACTCCTGTGCAGCCATGGCTGTGGCGTAGATCTTAGCCTCACAACTAGAGCTGAGAACTGAAGACGAGCGTGTAGAACGCCAAGAAACAGAGCCAGAGCCAAGGCTGAAGGTGTAACCCTGTGACGACCGCTGAGTAGCCTGGTCGTCAACCCAAGAAGCGTCTGAGTGCCCAGTGAGGACAGCTCAGCTCCTCCCTCCAAGCACGAGTCCCATGCCTGATGTACTGCACAAGTAGCGCAGTACCCTCTGAGCAGCATCCATGTTCACCTTTCGGTGCCGACCAGGAGCCACGTAGCGAGCCAGAAGGCCAAGAGGGTACGCGAGGTTAGGACGAGTACAAGTCATCAGCTACATGAGACAGCCAACTAGCTCTCGGTAAGGACCACTCGGCTCTACGGACTCGTCCGAAAGGTGGAATTGAGAGCGAGTGACCTGTAGCCAGAGGAGTGGCCTGTGCCGAGGGCAAGGTGAAGCCGAAGTGCTGAAGGACCTGCTGCACCATGTGTGACTGAGTCAGTGTGATGGTGTGGCGTGCTCTGTCCCGGGTGATCTACAAGCCAAGGTAGCTGCGCAGTTCACCCAGGTCTGTGCACATGTGTCTCTTCTGCAGCTCCGACTTCACCAGGGCGAGAGCCTCAGTGTCAGCAGTGGCAAAGACCAAGTCGTCGACGTACACGAGGATGTAGAACGGCGGCCGCGAAGTGTCAGTGCGCAGAAACAGCGACGGGTCAGCAGTAGAAGGCGCGAACCCAAGAGCCGCAAGTGTAGTCCTCAGTGTGTCGTGCCACTCACGTGGCGCCTGGCGGAGACCGTAGACCGGTGGCCGGAGGCTCCACTGGGTACCATGAGGGAACGACCCAGTGAAGCCAGAAGGGTGGCGCAGCCAGATCTCCTCGTGAAGGCTACCCTGCAAGAAAGTTGTGCTGAATTCAAGAGAGTGAAGCTCGTAGTCACGTTGAGTGGCAACGTGCAGCAGCACCCAAAGAGTGGTCATCTTCAGGGTGGGGGAGAAGGTCTGGAAGAAGTCAACTCCCTCTCGCTGACTGAAGCCTCGAGCAAAGTAACGAGCCTTGAAGACAGGCGGAGAACCTGGCGGCCGCTTCACCCTAAAAATCCACATGCCACTGACGATGTTCGCCCCAGGAGGGGGAACCTTGTCGACATAAGTGCCAGTGGACTTCCAGGATGCCATCTCTGCGTCCATGGCTGACTGCCACTGAGAGGAGTACTCACCCGCGATCGCCTCAGCGTAAGAGCGCGAGGTCGGGATGACTGGTGCATCCGAGTCTCCCTCAAGTGCAATCAGCATGGACACGAGGTGAGGTACAGCAGCGGCAAAGCACTCAAACTCCTCCTGCCTTTCCTCAAGGACGTCCGTGCCAAGAGCACACACACCCCTGACGGACAGAGCATAGACAGACTCAGACTCAGCAACAAGACTCGCAGCGTAGTCTAGACGACAGTGAGCAGCAAAGTCGACAAGCTCAGCAACTAAGGGAGACGCAGCAACAGACTCAAAGGAAGGGTCATTGACAGTAGTGGCCAGGAGACGCGTCACAATAGGACTAGCAGAACGAAGCGAGTCAGACTCCGAGTCAGCAAGGGCAGGAAGAGAGGACGCAGGAGGAGAAGGCATAGAGACCCGCTGTGGAGCAGTGGAAAGACAAAGCGTCATCTGGTGAGTGCCTGGGACAGCAGGAGAACGCTGACGTGGGACACGACGACCAGTGCGAGCAGTACAAACAAGTGACGCAGAACGAGGCTCAAGCGACACAGGACGAGACTCAGGCTCACGACGCTCCGTAAGACCTCCTGTCGGACCATTGTAGGGAGAAGGACTAGGAGGTGGCAAGGCAGGCTATAACTGTGCTTGCGACTGGACAGGCGGAGGACACTCTAAAGAGGGAGCAGGACAAGGAGGAGGAGGCTGACCAAGAACCTGCTGAAGGAGCGGAACAAAGTAGGGTCGCGGTCGTGAAGCGCCTGCACAACCAGCAGAGACAACACCAAAACCCCCAGCAGCAGCTCCAACTCCCGTAGCACCACCAGTAGCTCCAGTAGTGCCAACTTTAGGACCCCCAGTAGTACCTCTAGCAGCTCCAGCACCATCAGCACCTCCAGTAGCACCAGCTCCAGCAGCTCTAGCTCCAGCAGAACCCCCAGTCCCAGCAGCTCTAGTACCGCCTGTACGTCCATCTCCAGGACCTGAGGCTCCAATACCTCCAGCAGCACCGGGGCCTCCAGCGGGCGGCACCCTAGTGCTAGGAGCGTCGCTCCGGAGGCTGCAGCGTCGAGCATACCACTCACGCAGCCGCTGTGGGGAGGGAGGCTCTGGCCGAGACACAGCACCCGCAGCACCAC